TCGCGCTTTCGCTGGAGACTTGCTTGGAACTTACTGAAGAATAGCGTCCTTGCGGTGGAAATTCTTGTAATTTATTCCAGCGCCGCGCTCCCGACACCCAGGCACCCAGGAGTCGCGCTCACGTTTAGGACTCCCTCACATATTACCAGAATCGGGATCTCGCTGCCCTTCGTGCCCCCGTTGCAGCCCTTCGTGGCCCCCTCGCTTTGTTTCGTGGCCCCGTTGCAGCCCTTCGTGGCCCCCTCGCTGCCCTTCGCGGCCCTGTTGCAGCCCCTCGTGGCCTCCTCGCTATCCTTCGTGGCCCCGTTGCAGCTCTTCGTGGCCCCCTCGCTGCCCTTTGTGGCCCCGTCGCAGCCCTTCGTGGCCTCGTTGCAGCCCTTCGCGGCCGCCCCCTCGCTGCTTTTCGTGGCCCCAGATATGTATGCCTTTCGTTGCCCCCGCTCGTTCGCGCCCGCGGTGGCCCCATATGCATGCCCTTCGTGGCCCCGCTGTCGCCCTTCGTGGCCCCCCTCGCTGCCCTTCGTGGCCCCGTTGCTGCCCTCAGTGGCCCCGTGCTTGCCCTCCGCGGCCCAGCATACGTATGCCCTTCGTGGCCCCCGTTCGTTCGCGCCCGTTGTGGTCCCATGTGCATTCCCTTCGTGGCCCCGCTGTCGCCGTTTGTGGCCCCCTCACTGTCCTACGTGGCCCAGTTGCTACCTTCAGTGGCCCCGTCGTTGCCTCCTGTGGCCCCGAATGATCTGCCCTTCGTGGCCCCCGATCGTTCGCGCCCGTCGTGGCCCCATGCGCATGCCCTTCGTGGCCCCGTTGTCGCCCTTCGTGGCCCCCTTCCTGTCCGTTGTGGTCCCGCTGTCGCCCTTCGTGGCCCCCTCGCTGCCCTTCGTGGCCCCGTTGCTGCCCTCAGTGGCCCCGTGCTTGCCCTCCGCGGCCCAGCATACGTATGCCCTTCGTGGACCCCGCTCGTTCGCGCTCTTCGTGGCCCCTATACGCATTCCCTTCGTGTCCCCGCTGTCGCCCTTCGTGGCCAACTTCGTGTCCTTGTGGCCCTGCTGTCGTTCTCTCTCGCTTTCGCTCGTCGTCGTCGTCGCCGTCGTCGTCGCCGTCGTCGTCGACGTCGTCGTCGTCGTCGTGGTCGGTCCCCTGTCCGTCGCTCTCAGGGTCGGGTCGACGGTCCGCGGCCGCCCCGCCGATCAGCGTTGTCGCTGGCCAGGCCGACGGTCCGCGGCCGCCCCGCCGCTTGCCGGGGCCCGACCTGCAGGGAAGAAAGGCATACCCCCCAAAAGGGGTTCGGTCGAAGACGAAGAGGGTCGGGCGTTTAGGAAATACGCGTCATTGGGCGAACAGTCTTGAAATGATTTTTGCTGTTGTTCTTGAACTCCCATCATTGCAGAATAAGAATTCTTGATCCCACCTCTGGTGCACATTGTATTTTTCAATTGAAGTGCCCCTCCCGGCGGTCCCACCCGGTTTTTTCACGGAAAGTCTTCCTCCTCAAAGTGTGCCTTTTGGCCCCCGGTTTACAACAACAACGGCTCCTGCTTGATATTTTCTCGAAGCTTATTCCGGCCCCCCGCTCCTGCTTGAGACCTCTTCGCAATTCACTCAAGAATCGCGTTCCCACTCGAGACTTCCTCTCAATTTGCTCAGGCGCCGCGCTCTTGCCATTCAGGAATCGCGCGTTCGCTTGGGATTTCCTCATACTTTTGTTTTGGAATCGCTCTTGCTGGAAAGTTCCTGGCTGATCACGCAGAATTCACGATCGATCCGCCCGTTCGTCCCGCCCGTCAGGGTCATGCCCTTCGTGCCCCATGCTCGGTCGCGCCCTTTGTGCCTCATTGCTGCCCTTCGTGGCCCCTCCCCTTGTGGCCCAGTCGCTGCCCTTCGTGGCCCCGTTGCAGTCCTCAGTGGCCCCTCGCTGCCCTTTGTGGCCCATATATGCGCCCTTCGGGGCCCCCAGCCGCTCGTGCCCTCAGTGGTCCCATTGCTGCCCTTCGTGGCCCCGCTGCTGCCCTCAGTGGCCCCCTTGCTGCCCTTTGTGGCCCATATGTACGCCTTTCGTGGCCCCCAGTCGCTCGTGCCCTCAGCGGCCCCATTGCTGACATTCGTGGCCCAAGTGTTGCCCCGTGTGCCTCCCCCTCGCTGCCCTCAGTGGCCCCGTCGCTGCCCTTTGTGGCCCATATATGCGCCCTTCGGGGCCCCCAGTCGCTCGTGCCCTCAGTGGCCCCATTGCTGACCTTCGTTGCCCTGGCGTGGGCCCTTTGTGGCCCATATATATATATATATACACACATACGCCCGTCGTGGCCCCCAGTTGCTTGTGCCCTGGCGGGCAAGGCCAGCAGTCGCCCCTCGCTGTTTTTTTCGTCCGTTATCCGTTGCCCCCCGCTGCCCCTCGCGATAGTGCAGTCGGATTCGAAGACCCCGCCGCTGCCTTCGTGGCCGCCTCGGTACTTTTTCGTAGCCCTGCTATTTGAGCCCTTCGATTGCCCTCTCGCTGCCTTTCCTGGCCCCTTGACAGCCGTCAGTGGCCCCCTTCCTTTTGAGGCTGCGCCAAGTACACTTGGCAGGGAAGAGAGATATTGTTCCAAACAGGGTCACGATCGAAGACGAAGAGGGCGGGTATCCAGGGTTCGGAAACACACATGTTGATTGACACGCATGCGCAACAGAGCGAACAGTCTTAAACTGATTGTTGTGGTTGTTGTCGTTATTGCAGTTGCTGCTGTTGTTGTAGTTGCTGTTGCTGTTGCGGTTGCTGTTTTTGCTGTTATTGTTGTTGTTGGTTGTTGTTGGTGGTGGTGGTGTGGTTATTGTTGTTGTGTTTATTGTTGGGCTATCATTTCTGAAGAGTAATTATTGTTGATCCCCCTCGTGTAACCACTGTATTTGTCCAAGTGAAGTGCCCCTCCCGGGACTCTCCTGTGTTTTTAGAAGGGGTTGTCTGGTGACCAATCTGCGTTGTTGGCCCCTGGTGTTCAACGTTGTTTGGAATTTCTCCCCGATGACCCACTTTCAGGGATCCCCTGTGTTCAGATATAGAAACGAGGATACATCATGGGCGCCAGGTTGCGTGGATCATCTGTTCAAAACCATTGCAGGCAGGCCGAAAGGAAATCGCGACCCAAGATATGACTCCGACGGGGGAATCGGACCTGCAAGTCGACTCCGGCTACCGACGCCTCAACGGCGACGCCGATGACGAGGTATAGGCGCGCAGCATCAGAGGTGCCCGCCTATTTGGGCGTGGACTCGCGCAAAGTGGAAGGCCTGATATTCATGTCGTAGACGTGCCCTGCAAGTCCCACCATATGTAGGTACGCTCAAGCTACTCAGTGGAAACGCTAGCAGCAGCCCACAATTTGGAAGACTGCTACCAGACTATCGTGACACTACGCGACCTCCAAGCGGGATCACGCACACCAACACAGGTCGACAACATCCTGGAAGTGGGTGCTCTATGCATCAAGGTAGCATTGACCATCGGTGTAAAGTCCGTCTTCAAGCCTTCATACAGCAAGGATCTAACGGAACCGACATAATGTACATTACTTGTTCATATAAGCTGGACTTAAGAAGCGATGATTTTGGGTAGGGTGCATGGTGGAAATTGGTGTGGCACATGTGGTGTGATAGCCGACGGACATCAAAGATTGTGCTGGTCAAGCACGAGCTGAAGAAATACGCACCGTACGGGGCCAGCCAGGAGTCAACTACCGAACCTGGCTCTACGAGGGCCGGCGTTTGGAGCATTTTTTCCGACAGCGTGTCCACGTGTTTTTTTATTCCTGGTCATTGGCCCGTTCCACTTTCTAGAACTCGTTCGGGCGGCTGGATCTCTGGACGCTTGACCTTTGCGAGGCCAGTCGCTTCCATGTGGAATGTCACTTTGGACAGACTCGCGATTGAGCGCATCAGTCTAAGGACTTGCCAGCGGCCGCTGCTAGCACGGCTTGAAAGCATCTGAATCTGCGAGCAGATATGCCATTCACCTCGTTCCCCCGGCTTTGATTGGAGACCAGAGCCGGGCATAGCGAGCTATCTTTGGCCGTTGTGGATCACAGCGGCGCGCAGGTAACATATGTTTGGGCAGCTTGCTTTTCGACATCGCGGTGGGTGAAAGTACATCGTACTTTGATCACGCATTTTATTTCATTCGCTGGCACATGTCTCAAGCAGTGACGAAGCGTCCTGGCGTCCCTGTAGGCCTACCAAACAATGTTCGAAGAACCTTTTGTTGTTCCCACGAAAGGTTCTCAGAACATTTCTGGCTGGGACTGTCTTGTTTTAACACATCGGGGTTATGTTCTAAGAACATTGTTTTGTTCTTAGAACATTTCTGGGTTGTAAGAACACTTCGTGGTAGGCATATAGAAACTGCCTGGACGGTCGGTCCCTGCTCAAATGTCCCGTGCCGCCTGTCCTTGCTTGCATTACGTCGTGGCGTCGTGGCTAGGACACTGGTATCGTCTACGAAAGTCTACGTCTATCAGTAGTCAACCAATGTTTGAATGTTTGGTTTTGTTTAAAGCTTCTTCGGCGTGTTGGAGCCCAGCTTGGGCCAGCTTTGACGGCAGACTGGCTTCTTCGGGGCCACGGAGAGTAGATCCGGGCGTTCTGGAGGCCCTGGGGGTGCGTTGGTGAGCTCGCCCCCCTCCTCCCACGCCCCGGGCCCAGCACAGGCCCCCCCCCCCTGCCCCCCGCCCTTCCACTCGGATCTGAAGCCCAAAGGAACCCAAACGAGGGGGAAAGGGGGGGAAGGACAGCCAATAATGTCACGCGCCCTCATACCCCGGGAACCGCCTTCTCTAGTTAGCCCCTTTTCATTATCTTCCCCCTCCGCCCCCCGTCTTCCTCCTTCCCCCGCCCTCCCCCTTATCCTCCTCCTCCTCCTCGTCCTTCCCCTCCCCTTCCTTCCTCCCGCTCCTCCAGCTGTCGTCCTCCTCTTCCCTCTCCTGTCATTTTCCCCCTCCCCCCCCTTCCCTGCGGAAGACTGTCACGGCAAGGTTGCCCCCACCGTCGGCATGGAGCAGGTCCACGAGGCCGCCAAGTGGATGCTCGGTTTCCTCGGCTACTACGGCCAGGCCGCGGCTCCGCCTCCGACGGCCATCGTGGTGTGCACGCCCACGAGGCCGCCTCGAGGAGGGAGGAGGAGGAGGAGGAGGAGGAGGAGGAGGAGGAGGAACAGGAGGATGACGAGGAAGAGCAGGAGGAGGGGTAGGAAAAGGAGGAGGTTTGGGCGGCGGAGGAGGAGGACGACAACGACAACGGTGACGATGGTGATGGCAATGACGAGGACAACGACGGCCGCAGAGGCGGTGGCCGTGGTTGTGGTGGTGGTGGTGATGATGATAATAATGGCGGAGGTTGTGGAGGTGACGACGACGACGATCACGGTGATGCTGCTGATGATGTTGATGATGACGACGGTGACGACGACGATAGCCACGACGATGATCATGATGATGATTATGATGATGATTATGGTGGTGATGAGGGCGACGACGAGGATGACTGTTACGATGTTGACCATGATTTTGGTGATAGTGATCATGTATCTGTTGGTAGCGAGAGTAACGACAACCACGATGCTGATGATGGTGAATGATGATGGTGATGCAGGCGGGAGTGTTGACGTTGTTGTTGATGAGGGTGGTATGATGATGATGTGTCTGATCATCCTGGTGCACGTGGTGGAGTTTGTGGTTCCGACGACAATTTCGACAGCGACGGTGATGATGTTGTTGATGATGGTGGTAATCATGATGGTGTTGCTGCTGCTGCTGTTGATGATGATGATGCTGCTGATGATTATGATGATGATGATGATGATGATGATGATGATGATGATGATGATGATGATGATGATGATGAAGGACACGATGCTGATAATGATGATGCTGATGCTGATGATGATGATGGTGTGTCTGATCATGATGACGATGGTGATGATGTTGCTGCTGATGATGATGACATGCCGATGGCGATGATGATGATGACGATGATGATGATGATGCTGATGATTGTGATGTTTGTGATGACTTTGGTGATGCTGGTGGCGCTGCTGCTGCTCATACTTGCGTTTATGCTGATACGCATGCGGGTAATTAATGTTGACACTGATGACATTGGTGATGTTGATGTTGATGCTGATGATGATGCTGATGCTGCTGATGCTGTTGATGCTGTTGATGATGAACTTGTGGTGACGATGGGATGCTGATGTTCATGCTGATGCTGATACTGGTGCTGCTACTTCCGATGATGATGCTGATGTTGATTGTGATTTTGATGATGGTGCTGATGCGGATGCTGATGGTGCTGATGATGACGATGCTGATAATGATGTTGATGCTGATGCAGATGGTGATGCTGATGATAATGACGATGATGATGATGATGATGATGTCGAACATTATGATGATGATTATGACCATCATGCGCTTGATGACGCTGCATGGTATTATCGTGATGCTTATCCATATTATCGCGATGCTGATGACGACGATAATGATGATGATGATGCTGATGATGATGATGCTGATTATGATGATGATAATGCTGATGCTGATTATGCGTATGATGATGACGATGATGCTGATTCTGAGGCTGATGATGATATTGCAGACGACTATGATGGTGCTGATGATGCTGATGTTGTTTTCAATGCTGGTGATGATGCTGATGCTGATGATGGTGATGGTGCAAATGATGACGATGAGGATGACGATGTTGATGATGATGATGTTGCCGATGATGAGTACGCTCATGTTTTATGATGATGATGCTCATGAGGATGATGATGTTGATGATGATTCGTCGTTATTACTATTATTCATTTTGTGTTTTATAGTTTTTTGATGATGATGCTGATGATTATGCTGATGAAGATGATGTTGGTGATGGTGATGGCGATGCATTTCAGTATGAGTATTCGTTCCATGGTGGTGGTGATCATGATATGGTGCTACTTCGGATTATGTTGCTGCTGATCGCGATAATATTGAATTGGGGGAGGAGGAGGAGGAGGAGGAGGAGGAGAAACAGCATCAGCAGCAGTAGCATTGTTGTGATGAGTCCTTCGAAGTGTGCGCTTCCACAAGGCTCTTCGAGGAACACACGCAGTCCTGGTCTCCGTTCGACATCACGGAGGAGGAGATCTTGGACCTGCTCCTCACGGTCCCCGACAAGTCCAGGGAGGAGGCGCTCAACGTCGTGGAGGTACCAGACAGCCTGCTGAAGGAGCCTGTTGCCTGGTGGCCAGCGACGATGGCATGGGCCGCTGCGGCAGCAACGGCGACCACGGCAACCGCGACGCCGGCGACGGCGGCGACGACGACGGCGACGATGGCGGCGAATGACGCGACGGTGACGACGACTCCCAGAGATCCGATGTCTCGTTTTTTTCCATACGGGGTTCTGGGGAGTCTCGACCTTGACCCCAGGGCGGGCTCTTCATCCTGAGCAGGCTTTTGACCGCCCTGGGGCGCCGACGAGGGCCCCGAGAGGCTGAAAATTGTAATGACCTTCCACCCAGAGTTTCTCGAGACGGTGGCTGGCGACTGCAACGACGATGCCTTGCTGAGGTCGGGGGCGGCCAAGAGTGGGGTGAGGACTAGGGGGAGGGTTGATAGCATGGCTGGGTCTACGATATCCCCTTGGCTCTCATGCCCCTTCTTCCCATGCCATTACGTCCTTTGGCCCTCGCTCGTGCCGCACACGTGCCTCGCGCCATGATCCGTGAACCCCACCTCTTGAACGCCCCCCTCTTTGGACGCCCCGATGAGGAGCAGCTCGAGAAGCTGCTCGGCTCGCAGCCTGTGGACGCGGCCACCGCCTGGCGGGCGCAGAGCCGGAAGGCCGGCGGGGCGCCCACAAGCCCGCTTCCGACTCCGCGGCGCGTGCCGATGCTTGCGTGCGGCATGGGTCTGCCTTCGATTCTCGATCCTCGAACCTCGACAGGATAGGGGCCCAGATCATCGATCCTCGATCCTCGATCCTCGATTTTCGAAAACAACAAAAAAGGATAGGGCCCCAGACCTCGGACATATGATCTGTTCAATCCGTTTTTTTCCTTCGATCTCGACCCTCGCGGGGTCCCGTCCTGGGGTCCCGGGGCCATCAAACACGGATCCAGGGTAAGGGTTTCTTCGCGGGGGAGGGTTTGGAACCTCCGGGGCCACGGATGGAAAACATCTCATCGTGGATGTCTGGGAACCCCGTCTGGGCATTGAGATCATCGCCAGGGTTGCTAGGGGGTACGGAGAATTTCAGTGGATGCCAAGGTGTGTTATGCCTGGCCTGACCTAGCTTATCAGTGGAGGGCAAAGATCTGGGCTAAGTGGGCGGAGCCCACTTAGCGGTGCCCCCCCCTTGAATCCACTTGGGGCCTTCCATCGTGCATAAGCTAGGTTCGACAAACACCTATACACGCATTTTTCGGAATTTAGAGTACACACGTCTCTGGGTTTGTATATATATATATATTATACATTGTATATATATAGATATTATAGAATTGTGTATGTATACGTACGCATGTGTGATGTATATATGTACGTCTGTCTGTCTGTCTGTCTGTATGCATGTATGCATGTACTTTTATAAACCACCTTAGCGTCCATTTATCAACCCCGTATCCCCTTAGTATCCCCAGCGGTCGGGCGGGCCTAGGACCAGGATACATAGTTCCAGAGCTTTCCGGGACGCTCTCGGAACGTTCCAGAGCGCTCTGTCTGGAACGGCCGCGGCGCCCGATACATGTAGCCTCCATGACCGCCGGATCTCCAATATTTCCGATATGTCCCGGTCCGATTTTGCCCAGCCCTGGTTCCTCCACATTCCTCCTTCGCGTCCTCCTGGCATTGGTGTGCCCTGCTATTAGGATGCAGCTCCTGGGGCGTGAAATTCCGCATCGGCGCTGGTGTCTGCGTGGCTACAGGCCTGCCTTATCCAGCACAGACGAGCCCAATCCCGTTCATTCCCGATTCGTTCGGCGTCAGGCTCAGTGCCGAGTCTAGTTTGCCTTGGTCGCCATTAGTCCGTGCGAAGACTCCCCACGAGTTGCCTCCTAACCCTCACCACCCACCAAACCACCCCAACCCAACCCGAAGGCTCAGATTTACCCTCGATTTCCAGTGGGGGGGGGGTCGGGAAACATAGAAAAAACACACGTGGAACCCTTACCCCCCCCAACCCGAAATTCTGGTCTTCGGGTTGGGTTGGGGTGGTCTGGTAGATACACCGCAGGCGATGCTTAAGAAAACTTAAGTTTTCGGCCAGAGTCCCGGTTATTCTTAATGCTTCAATGTAAGTCCTAAGGTTTCAATAGGAATTCTGGGTCTTTATTCAAATTCTGAGACTCTGAGTTTCTTAACCCATGATTTCTTAAGCATTTCGCAGGGTGTAGTCAAACCCCTCCGCATCCTCCTGGCTCTGGTGCGCCCTGCTGCCCCTTTGGCGAAGTCTCGCTGCGGGAAGGCCAGGGGCGGCCCACACGGCTCGATCGGCGCGCAGGCGCGCGCAGGGGCGTCTGCGCGTGCGGGGCAATCCATGCCCTTCGAGGCACATCTTACCAGCCTGGAACATATCCCTTTCCCTATGCTGGGCATCTCCTCATCACGATGCCTACCTTAGGGATTCCCTTATTCTTTGAGGGCGAATCCCTAAGATTGTCATCGCCTTTTGGCAATCTTCGGGATAGGGATAAGTTCGAGGCTGGTAAACATCCAGAGATCTCAAGGGAAACTCTGGGTCAAACCGTGGAAACCGTGGGCGCTCCGGCGCGGGTCAAGGATACCCTTAACGACAGACCCGAGGAGGGTAGATCTGTTTCACGGTGGGCTTGTTTTCCACCATCACCACCATGAGTGGGAGGGGGTCCTCCTCCACCTCCTCCTCCACCTCCTCCTCCTCTTCGTCCCCCTCCTTCTCGCCCTCCTCCTACTCCTCCTCCTCCTTCCCCCCTCCAACTGATGGTGGTGGTGGTGGAAAACAGGCCCGTCCCTGCTTCAGCCCTCGGGGTGGAAGCAGAGGTGTCGATGACTCGCCGCCCTTTGGGGAGCCCGTCAGCGTGTCCACTCTTTCGACTTTGGGCCTCCGGGGTTCGCTTGCGGATCCCGGGGCCATCAGTAGAGGGCTCCAGGGCGGAAGACTGTTGCAGGAGGGGAAAAACACAGACACAATGAATCGTCGATCCCCCAGAAAGTATGGGAAACTATGGGAAGGGGGGGGGAAGACAGAAACCCAGAACAGATGGGAAAATATGGGGAATCTTTTTATCTGTGTGTATTCATTTGTGTGTCCCAGGCCCCTTCATTGTTGCCTGCCCGCCCCCCCCCCCTGGGGAAGGAAGGGGTCGAGGCCTCTGGTGCTCGCGGATGCGCGGGCACGAGTCTCCCGCAAGAGCTCCTCCCAGTCAGGGACAACGCCAGGGATGGATGGGTCGTTGTCATGGAGTGGCGTGCGCCTTCCTAGCCCCCCCCGCTCTGCGATGTAGACGTGGCTCATACTTCATGCTTGACAATGCAGCGAGACAGAGCTGTCGATGCACGCCCAGCATGGGCCTTCGTGTGTTTGGGTTCGGGGATCGATTCCCACGCAGTCAGTGGACACAGAGTGGGGTGACGCATTGCCCCCCAATCGCCCGCCGATCCCCGATAGGGGCCCGACAGCCCGCCTCGCCCGAGGCAGCCGCCGATCTGTCGGCGTCGCGTCACCGATGCAAGGGCGATGAGCCAGTCCCCCATCGTGTTCCCCCTCCTCCTCTTCCTCCTTCGTCCTCCTCCTCGTCGCCCTCCTCCCTTCTCCCACCTCCTCCTGCGACTGCTTCTCCTCCTTCTCCTCCTCCTCCTTCTCGACCCTTGTCCTCCTCCCCCTTCTCCTCCTGCTCCTGCTTCTCCTCCTCCTCCTCCTCCCCCTCCTGCTCCTTCTTGACCCTCCTCCTTCTCCTCCCCCTCCTCAACCTCCTCCTCGATCCTCCTCCTCCTCGATTCTCCTGCGAAACAAAGGCAGCGTCGCAAAACAAAAAAAAAATCTCGACCCATTTCCCTCGCGAAACAAAAGCACCGTCTCTCCGCGCCATTTCTCGAGCCAGATCACTCTGTCATGGCCCCAGGGGCCCGAAATTCCGGGCGAGAACGCCTGGTGTGAAGAGAATTGCAACGCCCGCGGTTCAGGGATCCATGACGGGCCACTTTTCTACCACCTCCAACCAGATGTAGGACGGGGGGGAAGGGAGGATGGCGAGGTCCTCCTCCCCCTCCTCCCCCTCCTCCTCCTCCTCCTTTTCCCTATCCTACCTGTGGTAGTGGTGGTGGACAATGGGTCCATCAATCCAGGGGGGGGGCCCGAGGCGGCTGGCTCGGGCTGCGCGAGCGGCCCCCGATGGATCTGCGATTGCGGGGGCGTCCCGCAGGGTCGCGAAGAGACCCGCGCCTCGCGAGGCGCGAGGCGCGGAGTGCGGCGACGCAGTGTGCATCCTCCCTCCGCCTCGACCGCTCTAACTGTGGGCCTCTTACTAAGATGTACCCCTGGCCCAAGGTACCCCTGGCCTAGGGTACCCCCAGAATTCTCGGAGTGGCCCAGACGGCCTCCAGGGCACCCCTCACGAGGCCCAGAGGGCCCCAGGGGCTCCAAATAGGGCGAAAAGCTGGGGGCACCTTGGGCGAGGGGCACTTCTAGCAACACCCGACTTAGATGGGGTCGGAGTAGATGGGGTCAGAGGATCGCGCCGCATCACCGATGCATCGGCGATGCATCGGCGATGCGGCTCGATGTGGAGTCCGATTTTCCCCAAGCCGACCTCGCGGATGCGTCGCCTGCGTCGCCGGTGCATCCTCGATGCATCGCCAATGCATCGCATCCCCCCTCCGTCCTGACCGCCCGAACCTTCTGGACCTTCCGCCCTGACCTTACGCCCCTTCTTCGATGCGTGGATGTTTTTTTGATCTGCGTAAGGTTCCATGATATTCGAGGAATGCTTCTGTACCTTCTGCGGATGTCTGAAGGCATGGGGTGGAGGTGGAGGGCCTCCGGCAGGAAGTGGAGGGCCCCCGGCAGGTGGACGAGGCGACTGGCATCGTGCAGCTGATGCTGCCCAACGGCGCCAGGGTCAACTACGCCTGCACCACCAATGAGTCGACGGGGATGATGCGCATGTACGCCCCGGGCGGCAGGAGCCAATCCCAGACCGACTCGCGTCGTGAACAAAGACACGACGCCGTGTTTTTCGCTGTTTTCGGCCCCTGGGTGCCCTCGCCTTGTAAATTTCCAGCCGTGCAGACAGGCATGTCAGTGCGAAATCAATCAAGTAGGAAAAAGGTGCAATTGAAGTACGGATCGAGAGTACGAGTGGAAAGTAGTACGAATCGAATTTATGAGAAACGTATCATATGAAATACTGTTATGCTATGATATGCTGTGCCATGCTATGATATACTTTATGTTATGCTATGCTATGCTAATGTTGCGCTCAGCTAAGCTGAGCTAAGCTAAGCTAGGCTAGGCTAAGCTAAACTAAGCTCAGCTAAGCTAAGCTAAGCTACGCTACGCTAAACTAAGCTCAGATGGGATACGCAACGCTAAGGTAAGGGGGCGCACCTGGGGGAACCGCGGGGCGGGGACCGGGGGAACCGCCTGGGGCGGGACCCACTGCCCGGCCCCTTTAATCATATAGAGTAAGAGCCCTCTAGGCAGAGCCTAGGTAGGGGAATATGGGGGATCCTTTTATTTGTGTGTATATATGTTTGTGTGTCCCAGGGCCCCTTCAGACAGGGGTGTGCGTGTTTGTGTGGGCCAGGGCCGTGGTGTTCACCAGGTTTCGCTGTCCACTCCTTCCTCTTCAAGGCGTCGCCTGGCCCCTCTCTGCCTCGCCCCGCGTCCGCGCACGCGCCGTGCCACGATGCGCCACCGTGGCCCACCCTCTTCCTGGCCCCACCTCTCCTTCGGCGACCCGGAGTGGGGGAGGATGATGCCGCTGGGCCACCTTGGCTGCCACGCGCGTCAGGGAGGAGGGAAGGAGGAAGCGAGGAGGAGGGAGGAGGGAGGGAAGGAGGAGGGAAGAGGGAGGGAGGGAGGGGGGGAAGAGGGAGGAGGGAGGGTGGGAAGGATGGATGGATGGATGGAGGGAGGAGCAGAGAGGAGGGAAGCGGGATCGAGGGAGGAGTTCTTGGGCAAAACGTTTGCGGACCCCTACCCCAGCAGCTCCGGCCTACAGTGGAGGCCCATGCCAAGAAACACCCTGCTTGCCTCCTGGATGCCTTGGGTTTCTTGGGTCTTGATGGTTTCGCTATGAAAAGCGCGACGCTCCCACACCAAAAATCCATGGACGTCCTGGGGTCTCAGGGTCGGGTTTCTTGTTGGAAGGTTTCTTGCGGACTGGCCTCCACTGTACCATCAGGAGCACCGACAGCCTCGAGGATCCTGGGGCCGCGATGGTCGGCATCCGCACCATTTCGGAGTCGGGGGCTGTCAGCACCTTCTCGCGCGAGCAGATCGAGCTTTTCGCGGCGACCTCATGAGCGGCGAACGCATCCATACCCCCGTCCTCGCAGTCGGGATTCCAGGGCGCGATCCCGCGGATATGCGGTCGCACGGATACGTACATATTGCGCGGGGCATCCACGAACAAATGCGCCGTCCGATGGGTCGCCGCACAGGGGCCTGGCCCGCGAGGCCGCGAATTCGGGCACGTCTGTTTTTTGACCGCAACGGATAATTGGGACTTCGGGGTCTCCCTCGTCGCCACAGTTGGACGCAGCTCGGACAATTGGTGCGTTTGTTCACCGGGAGTGGCACAGGAACTGATTTTCAGCTGCCGCTGTGTCAATTCGCCCTGCTCCGGTAGCCCAGAGATCGAACAATACGAATCATGGAACAGTGGCAGTCGGACAGCATCACACGGATCAGCAGTTTTCCAAAGGCGCCCTTTTATCCTTGCATCCCCAGCCTCATGATGTTCCAACCCACTTTAGCCTTGGCACCAAACTCGAGGGTTTTCACGTGCCGGTCTCTGGGAGACACTCGTCCGACACTGTCTCGACAATCTTTCGACCTTTTTCCGGGTGCTCGAAATTAATTCTGGGATGTGGTCCTTAAGCACGATGGGAGCAACATAACCCCAGCCCCTTCCTGGCCCCATGGCTGGTCGTTTTCGCTCGCGAGGCTCACCAGCCTGGAACATATCCCCATCCCTATGATTGGCATCGCCTCATCTGCCGATCTTAGGGCTTCCCTCCGTTTCTGAGGGTGCATCCCTCAGATTGTCGTCGACTTTTGGCCTGTTGACCTTAGGGATAGGGATACGTTCGAGGCTGGTTAGATGCTTCAGCTCAATCGGCACGATCCAAATGTACAGTGCCGTTTCTCATACATGCTCCGCGTGCGGATCATGTATTAAGCATGCAGGGATCTAGCATAAAAAAGCAACGATTAGTTCATGCATCAATGTATTCCTAAATCAATCATGTATGTTTAAATCCTAAATGTTAAAAAAAATCCCGTGTATTAATAACTGCCCTGTTGGGATACGTTCGAGGCTGGTTAGAGGCTTCAGCTCAATCGACACAATCCACGCATACTAGCACTGTGTGTGTGTGTGTGTTTTGTGTGTGTGCGTCGGCCCTGCCGGCGCGACGCGCGCGCTCAGAGAGCTCTTGCGGTGGGAGCTCCGCAGCCGGCGCTCCCGGGCCACACCATTCGGGAAACGGTCCACCACCTTGTGTTTTCGCTGCATAACCAGCCTCGAACGTATCCCTATCCCTAAGATTAGAAAGAGCGTGTTCTACCGCTGCTGGCGGAAAACCGGGGGGGGTCACTACCGGTTCGAACCCCCCCCCCCCCCTCCGGAAAACCGGGGGGGGTCACTACCGGTTCGAACCCCTCCCCCCCCCCCCAGCTCATCATGAAAAGGGGGGGGGGTCACTACCGGTTCGAACCCCCCCCCCCCCCCCCCCCCTCCGGATCCGGAAAACCGGGGGGGGTCACTGCCGGTTCGAACCCCCCCCCCCTCGAAAACCGAGTGGGGGTGCGGACAGTGGTGGGGACGGTGTTGGTGGGGACAGTGGTGAGGGGATAGCGGGACAGTGGTGGGGACAGTGGGACAGTGGGACAGTGGTGGGGACGGTAGTGGTGGGGACAGTGGTGGGGACAATGGTGGGAACAGGGGGGGACAGTGGACAGTGGTGGTGACGGTGGTGGTGGGGACAGTGGTGTGGGGACAATGGGAATGAGGTGGAAACAGTGGGACAGTGGAGGGTACAATGGTGGTGGGGACAGTGGTGAAGGCGGTGGCGAGGACGGCGGTGGGACAATGGGACAGAGGTACAGTGGGGACAGTGGTGGGGACAGTGGGGACAGTGGTGGGAACAGTGGGACAGCTCAGTGGGACAGCGGAGGAGTCAGTGGGACAGTGGGGACAGTGGGGATAGTCGGGCAGTGGTTGGGGCCGTGGAGACAGTGGGGAGAGTGGAACCGTGGTGGGAACAGTTCTGGGGACAGCGGGGACAGTGCGACAGTGGTGGGGCCACTGGTGGGGACAGTAGGGGCGGTGGTGGAACCAGTGGGGACAGCGGTGGTGAGGACAGTGGTGCTGGGAACACCAGTGGGGGATGTGATGCGGACGGTGGTGGGGACCGGGAGTCGTTTGCTGGCGGTGAGTAGGGGGGGGGGGGGGGGGGGGGGGGGGGGGTTCGAACCGGTAGTGACCCCCCCCGGTTTTCCGGAGGGGGGGGGGGGGGGGTTCGAACCGGTAGTGACCCCCCCGGTTTTTCGAGCGGGATGGGGGGGGGGGAGGGGTTAGGGGGGGGGGGTTTTGCCGGGGGGGGGGGAGGGGGATGGGGGGGGGGAGGGGTTCAGCAGGGGGGGGGGATTTTCGGAGGGGGGGGGGGGGGCGACCCCCCCGGGTTCTGGAGGAAAAGGTTGGCAATTTTCCACAGTAAAGCGGCGGTGGATCACGCTCTCTCTAAGATTAACAGGCCAAAAGTCGACGACAATCTTAGGGATGCACCCTCAGAAACGGAGAGGATCCCTGAGATCGGCATCGAGATGAGGCGATGCCAATCATAGGGATGGGGATCTGTTCCAGGCTGGTGATACTACCTTGTGCTTCTGCTGCAGGTCTGGCTCGGCCGTGCCCATCTGGGGCGCACAGTGCTGGCATGTTCTCCTCCTTCCCCCTCCTCCTCCCCCTCCTCCTCCTCCTCCTCCTCCTCCTCCTCCTCCTCCTCCTCCTCCTCCTCCTCCTTCTCGTCCTCTTCCTCCTCCTCGTCCTCCCCCTCCTCCTCCCCCTCCTTCTCTTCCTCCTCCCTCCCCCTCCTCCCCCTTCTCCTCCCCCTCGAGGTCCCTGCATCTTTGCCGAGCATCCCAATGATCACGTCGCGCTCGACGCTCGAGCTTTCGGTGGCCCTCGCTGGTCTCCTGGCTCGGCGCGGGAGCCGCCTCCGCGCGCCCCGTTCCCCAGGGCGCCGAGCGCGCCCACGGAGCGGGGGGGGGCCAGCGCAGAGCCCAGAAGCCCGAGCGGGCCTCCGAGAGTCTATGAAGCCCGACATGCCCGCCCCGTGTTCTTCTCATGACGTGTGGGCGACGCGGAGGGGGATTGAAATGGGGACGATGCCTGGACGATGTCTGGCCGACATCAGCGGCGGCCCGCGGCTCGCAAGGACGAAGTGCTGCCAGACAGAGGGGGCGGGCCTTTTCAAAAGGCCTAGAAGGCCTCGGGCCTTGTGAGAAGCTTTCTACGCCTTCTCCGAAACCACAGACGGCTTCTCAGCAGGCCGGAGGTATTCTGAGAATCCCCGTCGCCTTCTGAAAAGGCCTGCTGCCCCCTCGCACTTTCCAGCTCGGCGTCCGCCGAGCACGTTATCTGGCGGTACTTCGTCCTTGCGAGCCGCGGGCCAGCGCTGGTTTCCCAGCGAATTGGCGCGCGTGTTTTGCCGTCTGCCCGTCCCGCAGCCTTCTGTCGGCCAGCAGTGCCCTTTCAGTATCGCGTCCATCGCATGAACGACTTCGGCACTGTTGATTTGAATCGACTCGATCTGGAGGATTTCGACTTCGATTCAATTCCGAATTCCGAGTTGTATTTAGAGTTTTCCCTGTGTGAGCCTCGACTCTGGCCGCAGGATGTTGATTTCGATGCTTTACGATCTGCCTGGCGATCCCTGCCGATTCGATGTATTTCGATGGCCGATTCGGCTTTCCGACTCGACTTTGGGTCATTATCTAATCGATGTTGTCTCCGTTTCGGGCGTGTCAAGGTGAGGTGTTCAGTCTTGGACACCTTGTTCAACACAACCATGCAGCTTTCGCGCGACGCCGAGGACCGCCGGCAACAGACGAAGACCGTCAGAAGACTGCCCGAGACCGCCGAACACCGCTCAAGGCTGATGGGTAACAAGGTGTCCATGGGCGATTGCGTAGTCAAGGTGACCAACCTGATGAGCGTCCACCTGGACCTGAATCTCGAGTTCGCCCACGTGGACGCAACCTTCTCCATGAACGACAACGGCTTGGTGGCGGTGCTGGAGCTGCTGCATCTGCTGTTTCAGGAGCCCCGCTGGGAGCTTCCGGCCTTCGTGCGCGCGCAGCAGGCATACAAGGCGCAGAGCTACGCCTCGGCAAAGTCTCTGGAGCAGAGCACGCTCAACAGGCTGATGTCGACGATGTGCCCAGACCTCCGACGATATATGATATACATATACCCATATACCGGCGTGTATATATATATATATATATATATATATATATATGTATGTATTTGTATGCATACATGTTTATATATGTATATGTGCTTGTCTAAATTTATACATTCCTATGCATAAGCAATGGATGATCATTTTTCTCTCTCTCTCTCTCTCTCTATATATATATATATGTACATATATATATATATATATATATATATATATATAGATATACAGATATGCATATGTATATAAATCCTGGCGCTTTTCCCCGATTTCGGCCTCTGGGGCCCGATAATGGCAAATGGGGCCATCATAAATGGTTCCGTGGCGAAGAGCTGGCCCGGGGGAGCGGGTCGGGATCTCTGGAGCCGCGGATCGGAACAGTCAGAACGGCGGATTTCAAGGTACTCGGACCCGCGGGTGGTAGAGCCCAGGGTCGAGGACTTGAACAAGCTCACGATGGCCAAGGCTCGCTTGCCAGCCTGAGAAATGAATCCATATGCCTCATGATCGGCATCACAAACGCGAGGCTGGTTACTCCTGGCCGCTTGGCCATCCCTCCTCCGACCACGCATCTTTGCAGCGACGTGGGCCTCCCAGGGATCTCAACCTCTTGCCAGGGACCGGCGTTTCCTCCGGAGCGTAGTTTTTGGCGGTCCCGGGGCCAGGAGACGGCCTCCAGATGCCGAAGGCGAATGCCAACCGGCCGTCGCGATATGTTCGCGTCGCCCAGGGTTAATTCGGGCCTGTCCTTCTACAGGAGGCATATTCAAAAATAAGGAAAAATAGTATGTGCACTATTTTTGAATATTTTTGTACCAGTTTGGAGCAGTTTTTGATTTTTCCCTGTTCGTCCAAAATCCTCCTGTAAGGGGACATGCCCGACCTAAGCCTAGGGCCCAGGCGGTGGGCAAAAGCTCCGTCTTCCCCAGCACCGAGCGGGCCTGGGGCCCCCCCGCCTGTCGCAGGAGAGCGGTGCCCCCTCCCCCGCCCTCCTTTCGGGGGCAAAGTGGTGGGAGGTTCTGATCCGAGTGTTTTTTCGATGGCCCCCTCGCTTCGTTCAGCCGAACGCAAGCATGGATTCAGGGGGCGTGGATTAGCGACGGGCCCCGCTTCCATGGGAAATCGTGGGTGTCTGCCGCCGAACGAGGCGGCACGGGCCGCTTTTTGGGGAGGGCGCCACCCCCGATCCATGTATTTGGCGACCGCGCGCATAATCCATGAATCGCTAATCCATGTTTGCGCGCCCCCGATTCGTTCACCTCGCTGGCCCAGAGTTTCTCATCGTGGGCGTTTTTTCCGCAGTCTCGTCGACTGGCGGCCCTGCTGAGCAGCGTTTGCTGCATTCAGTTTGTGTGTGTGACGTCTGTCCGTTGATATCACCCTTCTCTGGTCATATAACGCGAACGTTTCGGTTCAGGGGTTGCCATGAACAACGTACCGCGCTGCTCTCTTTGCAGCGACCAAAAAAAGTAGTTAACCTTTTCCTCCTTCGCCTCTACGTACGGACGTCCGTATAGGATCGACCGTCGGTCGTATCCTTATACACGCAGTTTGCAGCCTATTCTTTTACGCGCTTCGCTGTTGCGGCTCGCGTCATCGATGACCCCGCCGCACGGCATTGCTCCCGTCGGGGAGCAGTGCCTCTATGCGCGCGGCGTCTTCGGCGGCGCGCGATCGCGACGACACTAAGGAGAGAGCGAGAGAATCTGTGATAGCCATTCCCCCCTCTCAGGAGAAGGAAACCCCGCGTCGATCGCGGCTGCTCTTGGCGAACTTCTACCAGACTCCGCTGCAGCCGCCTCCCGCGCGTTTTCACATGCCGAGGACATCTCGTACTGTCGCGGAACCTGATACGTCGACTGGGGCGCGTCTTGGCGTTTCCTCTGATCGTTCTCATGCGCCGGTGGGAACGCCTGCAGTTGGCCTCGGAGCCTCGGCTGGATTCGACTCACCTCCCTCTTCTCCAACCTTCGCTGGTGAACGTTTTGTCGGTGGGAACACCCGCAGCAGCGGCGACAATGAAACGTGTCCAGACAACGCTTTTGCGCGCCCCCGCCGCTGGGGCAAGGTCACATCACCCGCGAACGTGACTGTGTCCGAGCACGTGCGCGTCGCTGGAGATCGTGCGGAACGGACGTTTAAGCGAAGGGGCCCAGAACGGTATCACATCCATTCTCTCAGTGATGACAATAGCCGCAGCCCCTTTCAGGGGAGCTCCCAGCAACACTTCAAACGGGGCGATATTGCACCGCATTGCTTGCCGTCAGCGAGTGATTTGGCCGAGTTGCGGGCCCAGTTTGGAACTTGCGCGTCTCAGTCAATGTTGGGTCTGGCTGCGAAGACAGCCGCAGTATGGCAGGAGCTGCACCGCGTCCTTGCCTGGGTCGACGCTCGGGCCGCTGAAGATCGATCGATCCGCCCAAGTCCAGCATTAAGTCGACCGCGTGGAGTCACACCGAGGTTCCGACTCCTCGTCCATCCAGACGCGTTGCGATTATTTCCATCGAGCGGAGGCGCAATTCGTGAGCGCCAGGGAGACGGGCGTTGCCGCCGTCAGGGCGCTACACGATGAGTTCCTCGCAGCGCGGCAGGTTCCAGCTACGGCGTTACATGGGACAGCGGATCAACAGCTCCGTGATGACCAGATTGCGTTTCGTGATCGCGTTGGCGCGACCATCGCCAACGTCCGCCCCCCCCCCCCCCCCCCAGCATGCCACAGCCAGGTCCGAATTGCATGGCCAGCGGTGTACTACCAAAGTGGCCATTGCGCAACGTCTTGATGCGTCGGATGGGGCGCGCGTCAGCGGTTGAGAACCGAGTTTCCACGGTCGAGCAACCGTTGCGTGAAATGCAAGCTGCACTGGCTGAGTTGCATGTTCTACGGGCCCAGATTGACCAGGTGGGCGCCCCGACTTCGGTCTGCGATTTTGACCCCCTCGCAGCCGCGACGGCCGAGGTAGGGGAGGCGGCGGACCGCGTGCGGTTACGACCCGCCCAGATATCCCAAGACAGGGGCGCTGAAAAAGGCACGGGCGGAAGAGTCTACACCCGTTTGGAATTAGAGCGCGAAGCGCGCAACCGACGACCCCAGGACCTACAGCCTCGGTTGGGCTGGTACTCCCAGCGAACTTCTGACGCCAACGACGAGAGTCGCGGCCTACGACAGAGTGTCGAGCAGTTGCAGACGATCTCACGACCGCCCAATCCACCATGAAGGCTCACGTTAGCGACAACCAGATCCATTGCCCTTCGCAACCGCCAGGGCCCGCTACCGACAGTGCCCTGACCCTCGCCGATGGCAACATCCGCCCAGGACAACCGCGACGTACGTCACCAGGAGCTGCCTCTGCAGCAGCCTCGACGCAGACACGTCGCGCATCTCCTGTGCGTGCACCATCGCCGACGCCGCGCATTCCATCGCTGGCTCGATCGCATTATTCTCAGGGTGGCACCCCTAGATCCAAGAATCAGATACTGCACGTGGTCCTCAACTGCCACGCGCTACTCAGTTTCAGGAGTGGCAACAAGTGGTCAGGGACTAGTTTGGCAGTGCCTCCGGACGCCCTGCCGAGGCATGCACGTTCCTCTGCGTTTCCGAGCAGCCGGGCGCCACGCGTGAGGACTTACAAGACAGTGGCGATTTCGATCGCATCGATTGTAAGCTTGACGCTGGGTCATCGACCGTTTTCAATACTGCGCTCCGTTACATAATGAAGAACCTCAAAGCTCAAGAGCATAAAGCCGGCAGAATGTTGAAATGTCTACAGATCTATTGGACGACGCTGCAACACTACACGTTCGCCGACGTCGACGACGCGACGCACGACTTTGCACGTCTACAAACGACTTTGCACGTCTACAACTTATTCGCCTGCGGGGCGACGATCTCCAGCGGTTCATTGTGGATTGGGGCAATTTACTTTTGCAGCGCCGTGGCCCACCAGTCACGGGGATAGTCGAGTCCTTGTTCAGAGCGCATATACAGGGCATACAAGGCAGGCCGTGTGCCAAAAAAATGTGAACGGCGCAACTGGTGCACGCTGGCTCTGGCAACCGCGCCGCGCCCCGACCTCGCGGGCGCGCGTCGCAGACCGACGCGGGTGCCCGACAGAAGCGAACTTCCACGGGGCAAGGCGCATAACGGCCGACCATAGACGGCGGTGCCGAGAAGTCCCGTTTCTCCCTTCGCCAGACATGGCGCCTGCCCGCGACGAGACCAGCGCAGATGGCCTCGCGTGGAAAAGTGCAGCTTCTTTGCCGACCCGGGCAAAACGCGCAAGCAGGGCGCCAGCTGCCGCTGCGCCCGCATCGCGTCTCACGCAGAGACCCCCGAGAGGAGCCCTGGCCGCGCCTGCAGTCAGGGCAGCCGCAGCGGGGCGCCCCCCCCTGGCGCGCGGGGGGCAATCGGCGCTCCTCGCGAGGAGGGCGTCAGGGCCCGCGGCGTCCGGGGGGCCGCGGGTGGATTGATCGGGTTCCGATGGGCGCGCGATGGAAGGCGCGGCGCCCGCGACAATCCCGCGCGCCTTTGCGGGGCGGCAGCCGCGGGCGCAGTCGAGGGCGTTCTCGCGGCGATGGAAGCAGCGGCCGCGGCGACAGCGAACGGTCGCCTGCGATCTGCTCGGGCCCCGATCCCCTTCGGCGAAAGAATGCTTCCGACGGCGGGGCCGAGCGCGCGTGATCTGCGACGAGATTCTGATCGTCGCAGACCCGCAGCCACGACAACATCGACGTTATCACCTACGTTTCGACCTCGACAACATCGACGTTATCACCTACGCGGTGCCCAAACGACAACTGGGCAAGTCGCTTTCCGAAGCCGACGAAGGCGACCCCGTTGTCGCGCCCGACAAGTTGCCGGACAGTTGGTTGCAGGACAGCGCCGAGGCGTTCCAGGTCTGCCAGCTCGTGGCGCAGAAGTGGCATGATTACAGCACTACCCCAACCCAACCTGCCACCCGACGACAGCCCAGCCCTGTCCTGCCACCCGCGTCGGTGGTGTCGGTGGCAACGTCCACGGACGGCGGCGGCGCGATCCATGGCAGCGCCGTCACGGACGTGGATCCTGGACAGCGGCTCCGCCCACCACATCCAGGACGAGGCCAGTCTCGTGCAGCGAGGAACCACTGGCGCGCACCATGGGCGCGAACATATATTGGAAAGGGCCAGCGGTGACAGGGTCGTCAACGAGCAAACCCGCCTGAAGCTACCGCACACTGGTCTATCCAGGTCAGCCCTTGCGCTGGACGGCTGCCCGCCGGCACTGCGGGGCAACTGGTTCAAGACGGCGGCTTCCGACAAGTCTGGGGCCCTCAACCTGGTAACTTATTCCAGGGCCCTCGTGGTCAACGGTGCCGGATCCCTGTCAGTGAACGCGCCCCAGAATTCGATTTCGACAATATTGAGCGGATTTTGCCGCATCCGTTGCGCGCCGCGCCGCAAGCATCGCGACGCCCGCGACGAGATAG